AATACCAATGGATCTGGCCAAATACTAGGGTCAGTGTGGATTTTCCATAAACTTGTAATTAGTCGAGTTCCCTTTTTAATATTATAGCCACCTAAAATGCAATCTTCTGTGAATTCACGAGGTGCTGAGAGAGGGCCTGGTGAATACAACCTTAATGTCTCTTTAACTACAGCTTGAAGGTATAGTATAGCTTACTTATATCTGACTCATTTATAAATCTTTCTTCTGGAATTTTGATGCTGATTTCTTCTTTTACTTTTTCTAAAATAAGAGGATTTCTCAATAAAAAAACACATCACCCATGTAAGAGTGACAGTGCTTGTGTCTGTTGCTCCCAACATCAATGCCTGCAAATCAAGTACACGTTTTCTAATTAGGAAGCATGCTCTAGTTAAGGATTTATGTTGGGACGCACTTATCTTTGTTTCCACTCGATCTAAAATTTTTTAGAATCATGATCTTTGGACCTAAACTTGACCTCGTCAAGACCCATGTACCGGATTAACTCGATTTATAGACAATTTATCAATTGTAACATTATATATAGTTAAATTATAAAATTAATAAAGTACAAAAGTAAAATTAATATATATTTTGTAACATTATTTTAAAATAAATATTAATATAAATATTATTTATTAAGCTTTAAAATTTTATTAATAATACATAATAGCCTAACAAATATAACTTTTAAAAGACACTAAACTGAGCTAAAATAACAAACCAAATTATAATTTAAATATATTAAGTCTAATATTAAAAATCCAAACATATGCATTAAAATTAACCTGGAATTGACCCAGATTGACAGGATAGAATGGGACATGAACACCCCTAGCTTCAGCAAACAAATTAACAAAGCTATTTTGTACATTAAAATTTTGTTATAAATTTTACGCCATTTAAATGTCTATTCAAGAATTGGCCAATTTCTTTCCAGTAGATCCGCATTTACAAAGGAAACCAATTTCTCTGATAAATAAAAACGTTATGTAAATTATAAAGATATAAAAAAATTTATTATGATGAAAGAGATATTTACATTTAATGTTTAATCATTTCTTGAACAATATTAGGTCTTGTCGAAAATACATGTTAAAGACTAGAAATTAAAAAAAGAAATTGAAACCCATATATCTATTAGCGTAAGTGATATGAAGCTTTTTTTTTGTATTAAAAAGAAATTGTAAGAATTTGATGCCTTAAATGAATCTATCTAGCTCGATCTAAGCTGATTGAATAAGAGAAGAACAAGTAAAAGGACTTTCGTATAATTGGGTTTTTAAACCAAGAAAAGGTGAAAAAGGAATTTGGAGCATTGAGAAGAAGAAACTAACAAGGAAATCGCAACTAAAATATTAAGTGACTCTCAGACAATTTGGGTTTTAAACCAAAAAGGGTAGGAAAAAGACTTTGGAAAGTTCATAAGAAGAAGAAGCTGACAAGGAAATTGCAAATAAAATACGACTTGAAGCAATATTAAGTTCACACAACTATAAATACAGGAATGTACATACCAATGTTGTGGCTTTGTTTATAGTACCAGCATCAAACCCCTCGATTGTTGCACCATCAAGCACCGAAAGCATCATGTCCATGAAATCTTGGTCACTTTCAACCTTTTCACCCAAATGCCTCTTTTGTTTATGCTCCACCAACCAATCATCTAAGATAACATCCAATTCTTTGGCAGTTTCTTTAATTTCATTGCTTTCACTCAAAAATTCATCCACCTCAAAATAGGAACAGCATCAGCCACAGTGCACACACCCAACATGTGCATGAAGTCCCTCAAAGCCTTCACAAACTTCTCTGCTTCTTTCTCATTAACCATTGCCGTTTCACCAAAATAACGCTTCTTAGCCATCGTTTGGAACACTATGTTGAAAACCAACCGTGTGAACCATTGCTTCATCTCCACCAACACATAGCCACTCTCATTCTTTGTGTTGCACCAAACATGAAAGAGCTCTTTAATCGAAGTTTGAACTTCGGTGACTCTAAGATGGCTTAGTAGCTCCGTTTTGCGGTTTGAGAGGAACATGGTAACAACCTTACGTAGTTCACGCCAATATGGACCATAGGGGGGTGCAAAGCCAAAACTGGCTTGGTTATAAGCTATGTGTTCAATTGCAACAAGCTTCGAGCGAGAGGAAACGATGATGTCGTTTGTGGTGTAACATTCCTTAGCCATTTCCCAATTGCTTAGCACCAAAGCGCGTTTCGCACCAAGCTTGATGGTGAAAAAGGGTCCATATTTATCAGCCATGGCACCTAAAGTCTTGTGGGCTGTTGGGGAACCACCCAATAGCATGAGGTGACCAAGTATAGGCCATGCACCTGAGGCCAGGGGTGGTTCTCTACCTTGACCAACTTTGGAGGAACGAAATAGAAATAAAAAGGCTAATAATAATGTTAGAGAAAAGAGTCCAATTGTAGTGGTGTTTAGGAAATTTAGAACTAAATCCATTTTAGCTAAAGTTTGTGTGTGGAGGAGTGGCAGGGCTTGTGGGAGAAATATAAGTGTTTGATGTGTGGAATGCGTATGTTTTGCTAGTTACTAGCTACTAATACTACTACTACTACTATATATATATATATATATATATATATATATATATATATATATATATATATATATATATATATATCAAAACTATTGCACACACGGATAGGACATCAAACACAATTGAACAATTAAAAAGGACAAAATAAAAGATCAAAGAAAAATAAAAAGAAATGGTTGTTCTGCGCTGAATATGTTCTTGTAATTATTTTAAGCTCAGACGAAAATTATGAAGTCGGCAGACAATTAAATGCATGGACTGAGACGATAAAGAAAGACAAACAGAGGGAAAAATCCTAAGTTAGCGGCTAATGTTTCTACGTAAAAGGGGAAAAATATTTGCGGTGTGATGATATATACATAAACTCTCGTTTCACAATTTTTAAAATGATATATATATATATATGAGAAAATGTGGTTTAATTGATAATTAATAACGTAATTTTTACATTATTTTTTATTATGAGTGAGTTTTTTTATATTGTATAAATATTGTTAAACTTAAAACATTAAAATATATTATATAATTATTTTTAATAAGAATTTATATTTAATATATAGAGGTATATATATTTTTTTAAAAAATTATTGGTATAAAATTTTTACATATATAATTATTTGAGAAAAATGCTAAGAATAGCAACACACTCTCTAACATTCTTTAAAATACTCTTTATAACACACTAAAATTTATTAAAAATTACAAAATTTTTATATAAATCTTATTTGCTCTCTTACTTTTTTTAATATAAAAAAACACTAATCTAAAAAGGAGTGTGACTTATATAATTTTTGTATTTTTAATAAATTTTAATTAAAAAAAAGGTATATTACTAGTATTACTCTATTTATTTTTGCAATTCAGAGAAAGATAGAAACAAGAAATAAATGTAAATCAGATTAATAATGTAATAGAGAGAGAATGAGAAAATAATGACTTTTAAAGAATTTGCATAAGAATTTGTTTTTTAGTATATAAAAATTTAGTTTATGCTGTTAATAATAATTGAATATTATATATTTACATTCTTAGATATACTGATATATACTCATTATTGATAAAATAAAGATACAATATCAATTAAGTAATCTACATGTTGCAATCCAGTGCCTTGCCTCATCACACAACTTTAACCTCGAATTAGATAATAAAGTCGTAGATTGCTGTTTGCATTGTGTTGTTCTTTTCTGTTTGGGGTTGTGTTTGTTTGATTTATTTTATTGATATTTTCGTTGATTTCGCATACAGATTGATGCAATGCCTTGATCTGAAAAATGTTAATTAATATGTTTGCGTCTGAACTGCTTAACCCATAAATCACAGTTGTATAAGTCAAAAGAATCACAGTTGTATAAGTCAAAAGAATCATATCTGCAGCCGTTCTTTCTGTAGCGCATCACTATCGGTTTAAAGGGCCAATTTGAATTTAAACAATTATTATTATGAGTTGTGAAGTTTGATAATAACAATAATAATAATAACATAGAGCTACTAGCTTCTTTTTGTCACAATATAGTGTGTAAAGTTGAGTGAAACACCATTTTAATTTTTAAGAAATTTGGGATCAATTACATTAGTTTCTTAAAGATAGAAAATAAAAATAATAAAAGTGTCATTTAATCTTATTTTAGAAAAAGAATATTTAAAAATTAATCTATTTTTTAATCTTTTAAAAACGAATATGGTGATTTGATTGGTTTAGTCATCTATTGTTGCATAGAATGGCTATTAAAGTCCCATTCTAGTGTACGTAATGTAAATTTATTGATTTGGTCAACCATTATTTTCAGCCAAAATATTTATATGGTTCCTGTAAGAAATAAAAATGAAGAAAATAGTTTTAATTAGTTGAATACTGGGTTATTAGGTTTCAAACACAAAACTAATACCCTAACTAAGATGATTTGGTTTTACTAATTTGGTTCAATTTCAACCAAAACCAAAATCTTAAAAGCAACATAATCTGATTTGGTTTAATGTTCTGGATTCATCTAGTTAGTTCAAATTATATATATATATATATATATTTTTTACTTTGCTTTATTTTTATTGTTGGGTGATTTAATATTTTACAAGAGATGTAATAGAAGTATGGGAAAAATAATCAAAAAAATTAACTATCTTTCCTTTTCTTTTTACTGTTAGTATGTTACCTTGAAGAACGATATGTGAAAGTATAAAGTCCTCGAAATTTGAGTGATTTCTTTTTTTTTAAAAAAGGAAACTTTTATGCATCAGATAAAATGATTTCCAAACTTAGAGCCAACTTGTTAATTATCTTATCATCACAAGGATAATTTTACAAGTGCATGTGGTGGCTTATTTAGCTATTGCTACATGCAACTAAGCGCCAACTTGCAGCAGCCAAGTTAACAACTTGCCCACTCACATACTATACATAACATCATATTTGACACCAAATAAAGTTGAAATCTAGTTATACCCATATAGAGCATGTATGCCATCTACATCATCTTGCCGTAGATCCCTTCTTACACCTCCATAACTGGGAAACATAACTGAGTCAGGGTTGCTACTATGTCCAAGACCAATAAGGTGACCTATTTCATGCAAAGCCACTGTTTCCAAATCAAAGCCACTGGGCTTTCTTCTCCTCGAACCATTTGGGTTATTGGTCCATTTTTCATCAGCATCACAATGCAATCTCCCATCTTCCGGGGCAAAAGTATGGGCCAGAACCTGGCCCGGCCCATCAAAAGGATACCCATCACCGTGGTCTCCACGGTGGAACCCTATGACTATGTCAACTGGGTCATCCTCACTCTCAATTTCGGTAAACGTGAAGTCAGTGACCTTTGACCAACTTTGAAAGGCACTCTCCACTGCTTCCCTCACCATGTCTATGCTTAACACGTTAGCGCTTGACTTATAAGTGTACGTAAGTGCCCTCTTTGAGTCTTCCCATGTTGGTGACCCTGGGAAGAAGGTATAGTTTGCAACCGTCACCAACCCGTTACGTTTATGGCGGGTCATTATATCAGCCACTCCACAACGTGGGAGGCTCATTCTCTCTATCGTTGCGGTGTCTATGTGACCGGTGACGTGTAGGTTATGGTATGTTTGGTAGTTTTTTAGAGCAGACTCAACGGTTTCGTCGAAGTAGTCGTTTGAATAATATTGGTCGTTTGTTAGGTAGCCAAATTTTTTGAGGTAGTTCTTGAGTTCGTTAACGCCTTTTGTCGTTTGTCCCTTGTGAACTCCCTCGAGGTTTTTGAGTGTTTTGATGAATGCATGTTCAGAGGCTTCTATGGATCTTGACACAACAAAGGAAAATGGATTCATGACAAAGAGTAAAAGGAATGAGAATGAAAGCTTAATTGGAAGAATAAGAGCCATTCTTGCCAAAGTGGTACTTGGCCGTTTAATTCTTCTAATTGTTTCGGTGGTTGGTGCTATGGATTCATGCCTATTTATACACAACATCGAAAGTGCAATACATTTACAACTGATATTATATTATATTATATATACAAGGAGAAGAAGGATATTCTCACGTACCAGTAAAAACTTATACTTGATCTACACATTTTATTTAATACATTGTAATTTATTATTATATATTAACTTTATTCTTTTAACTTATCTTTAAACAATAACAAATTAAATATCCAATCAAATAATTTTACCAGCTTATTTTTTATAAAAATAAATCACACACATCATAATTTTAAAATTACATTAATTTTTCAACGTGCAATTAATTACCATATCCATGATCTTGTAGCCCACTTGATGAAACCTGATGGTTGAGACACTGTTCTTACTTGACCAAAAAGGAAGACTCACTGTTATTCGTCTTGGATCGCCAATATCAGTTATCACTTAAATTAATAATCAAAGATTAAGGTCAGTTGATCTTTTTCTTTCAGAATTATGCCTTTTTTTTCTTACTTATCATGATAATACAGTTGATAATTTGCAAGCACTAGTTGGTGGCTATAATTCCACCCAAATTATGAAGTAACAGAACCATAGTGCAAGCGTGGAGACCAATATACACAGCTATTGGTTTAAACGCAGGCGACATTTCTCCATTAACTCTCAAAGCAGAGAGATATGACTTTGAGAAATTCTAAATTATTAGTTACATGTATGATTTAATTAGTAAAAAGAAATATTTTTAAAAATTTAGTTAGAAAAAATTTATATTAATAAATAATAAAATTAGTGATTTAGTTAAAAAAAACATTAATATTCTATGGAAAAAGATCCTCTTACACCGGTGTAAGTCTAAAAACTTTTATATTCAATCTAAACATTTCATTTAACTTACATCTAATAGCTAGTGAAGTAATAAATTATATATAAGTTAAATGAAAGACTAAGATCGAATGTAAGAGTTTTCAAACTTACATCAGTATAATATATATATATAATCATCAGGCCTATAGCAAGCACCTATATAAGTTTTTAAATATTATATAGTCTTTTTATTTTTATTCATCACTTAAGGTATTTATAACCCTAAATTCCATCAAGATTTTGAACTAGTGAAATCTGCCTTTAATCAAAGTTGGAAAGAAGTAGCAAATGACAAAATGAACTCAATATTATCTAATAATACTTAGATCTTAGTTGATTTGCCTCAATGATCAAAGCCTATAGGTGCAAGTGAGTATTTAGAAAAAAGTATGATACAAATGGTTCTAATAAACTAACTTTATGTAATAAAGCATCTTTATATATTATGCTTTTAGTGTGACTCATGTGCACTAAAAGCTTTATGTTTAGTTTGGTTGCTTAAAGTCTACTTATAGCGTTAGCATCCATTTATAAGCTTCATGTGCATCAAATGGATGTTAAAACTACTTTTTTGAATGAAAATCTTAATGAAGAAATTTATATGGAACAACCAGAAGGCTATGTACTACTCGAAAATGAAAAGGAAGTTTATAAATTTGTTTAGTTTTTATATAGATTAATAGGTAACAACAAGTTATTTAACAATTGGAGCACTAAAATATAAGATTTAGTGATATATATATATATATATATATATGAGGGTGAGTTAAAACTCTTAATAGATTGATAATATTATTTATCAAAGGATTTCACCTACGTGAATATAGAAGTGGTGTTGCTTTGTTCGAGAAATTTGGAGGTTTTATTTTTGCAAATATTCATGAAACTTGTAACATCCTCATTGTAAAATAGTATTAGTAATAGATTATTAATTGATGTTAGATGATGTTGGAAAGTATTAAGGAGGATTTTAAGTGTTTAGTAAATTTTTGGTGCAGGAGAATCTCGTTCAAGCAAGATATGCCTCGCTCAGGCGATATTGCACGTCCAGGATTATCTCTTTCTATAGCATGCTCGCTTAAGGAGATCAATCTCGCTCAAGCGAAACAAGATTAGGTCACCCTAACTGCTACCTCGTTTAGGCGAGATGGAGCTCGCCCAAGCGAGGAATCACAGAAAATTTGGAACTCTCTAGACACTTATCTCACTCAAGCGAGAATATCAGAAAAGGCGCAAGGAGCTACTGTCTACATATCTCGCTCAGGTGAGATGTGTCTCGCACAGGCGAGGTACTCATCGCTTAAGTGAGAATCTCTCACTCAAGCGAAAGCGATCAAGGTCAGGGTTATTTAAGGAATCTTAAACGTAAAATTTTCATTTCTCTCAATCTCCATCTCGGTTCCTTTAGTTTTCTCTGAGTTCTTACTCCCTTTTCTTCTAAAAAAATCCCCTCCAAACTGCGATTATTAGCCAGATCCAAGTTTGTACGCCTAATCTAAGTAATCCCAAGTAAGTTTTCTTGAGTTTGTATCTAGATTTACCGATTGTTTCTGTCCAAGTTCTATTTTTTTTAAAAGGTTGTCTTGTGTTGTATAGGAAAAACCTTCGTTCTAAGCTATCCTCTTCATCAAACTCCTTCTAGATCTTCATATCGAAGAAAGGAGAGTTCAATTCTATCATTAGAACATAGAAATATTTATACTCTCGAGACCCTAGTAGTGTTTGTTTCTATTGTGAAATTATATACATATAAAGATGAAATTTTTAAATATTATGATAGGTTGATGATGTATATTTCTCTGAATTTAGGAGGTTTAATAGATGATAAATGATTATTTTGAGATATTATGAAATATAATTGATTGTAGTATTCGATTTGGATTGAGTCCAGAGATATCCAAGCTCTGGCAAAATTGTTTAATTGATAGTCGGACTATATGTGCAAATCGTATAATGATATGGTTGTTGAATTTGATTGAAAGTTGAATATATGTAAAAATGAGTTAAGTAATGAATAGTATGCATAAAAAGTATATGATATGTATAATATTTATTTTTATGAAAATATTTGAATGGAAATGAATATGAGAGTATGAAATTTTGAGAAGTGTGTTTACAATGTAAGAATTATAGCCAGCAAATTGATGTGATTGTAATACAAGTATTATGACACATCGACAGATATATTTACAATATATGTATCGTAATACATTGAATTATATGGTTATAATACATGTATTGTAACATGCTAATTTGTGGATGATATATGAATTGATGAGAAAGGAATTAGTGTGAATAGCTACAACGATACACCGAGAGTATGAAATAGGGAGGCAACTATAGAAGTCTAGGAGAAACGTAGATGATGGATGACATTCGCTAAATGTGCACGATTTATAAAGTTGCAAATGCATCATATGGCCACACACACGTTTTTTGACTAACACTCCTGACTGTACTTTTGTTAAGGGGCCCTATAAGTGTATACATTATATCCGTATATATGGGCTAACCGACAGCTATTTACCTATTGTGTAATACCTCATGAAATGTTGGAGGCAACTATGGAATGTGATCACATTATATAAGAAATTGTTGAGTTGAAACTGAAATGAATTGAATATATTATTGATATGCATAAGAGTGATGAGATAATTAGATCATAATTAATGATGTGGTGTTTTATTTGATTTAATATAAGCATTATCATAGAACTTGATGCACTTGAACTATAAGTGATGGCCGAGTATTTTATTTAAATCTTATGTGAATATGACATGGAAGTTTAAAGGGATTAATGTATTTATTTTGTATATGGATTGAAGAATACATTTTCTAATACACAAATTATACTTGTTGTTATGTTTTAATGATAAGAAAAAAATTCATCCTTATAAAATATTTCAGGTAACAAGAATAACGGTTAGGAACAAACTCTTAGTGTTTGGACATGAATCGAAACTGCTCTTAGAAAAATTTTGTTCATGATGATCTTGTAATTAAGTATTATACATTACATATATATATTTTTTGGTTAATAGTTTGTAAAGAGTATGCTTTCATATATATAATTTAATTTCAATGCCTATGCACATTATTTTATATTAATTTGGTAATATTATAAAATTACAGTTAAATTTTGATTCTTTTATTGTTCAAATTAATTGTAAATATGTTTATAGGAGAAAGATTGAGATTTCTCAATACTAAAATTACTTGTTTTGGTCAAGAACCAATTTATTCGTTTGATTGAAATTTAAAAATATTTAAATTACTATTTGGCAATCAGCTTGTTGAGTTGATTTGTTATAAATTATTATTTATTTTTTAGAATTTAAAAAAGTAAGATGTTATAAAACCAAGATAAGCACATGGCCATAAAAGTGTTTAAAATTAACAAATTTTTGAACTTGAGAAGAGATACAATTTATGTATATGAAAGAAAGATAAAATGGCCATTAAATATTTCTATTGTAACATTCACAACGCTACAAGCATACGAGGGCTGTATAGGAACTAAGTTAGAATCAAGAACAAGTGTGTTGGTTCACATACAATGCCTTTGATGACACCCAATGATGAAAGGACATGACTTTTAAATTTCGTACGGTGTCTACTAACATGCATATGTCTACTAACCTGCACGTTACAATACATGTATTATACCACGTCAATCGATATGTCACAACACATGTGTCCTAATCGCACTCATCAATGTATTATAACACATATATCATAACAACATTAACAGATATGCTACAATACACATATTACAACTGTACAATTTCTATACTACTTCATGCACATCATACTTTCATATTTATTTCACATTCATATTCAACGTATAGCGTCCTAAATTATTAAACTCTGATATCATCCTTTATAAGATAGTAGTTCATAAAACACCAAAATCTGGTAAAAAAATAAAATTCTTTCTTTATACAATCACAAGTATAATTTCCTTTCTCTGAGAGAGAGTTAACATGCATACAATTTTCTCATCTCATCATTCCATAGATAATTAGCATTCCTCATATCAATCTCGATAGCATAAGAGTAAGAATATACACAACTCATAATATGAAAATACCTCAATATATTAAGCATTAGTTTGGCGGAATAGTCAAGTACTTAAATAGAATTAAAAGCGGTTAACATGATCCAAATACACACGTAACATTAATAGACCAGACTTCCTAAGAGCAGTTCCCCTAATGCATACACAAATAAAACAGACTTCAATCGTAAGGAGAGTAATCTTCAATGGGATCGGACTCCTCAGAAGAAGTAGGGAAAGCGAAGCTAGAAGAAGCAGCAGCAACAGTCTCCACCGTTCTCCTCCATCTGTCTAGCAGTGCGATGAGGTGAACGAGTATCAGCAGTGGGTAACAAAGTAGAGGGGTAAGCAGGATGGACATAGGAGATATGCACATAATATCTCCTATGTGCATATCTTTAAGAATTTGGCAGGTAGACATTAAACATCAAAAAGAAAGATGTAAAATAGATGTGAAATTGATATGATTGGAGATAGTAAAAACCGTATATGTGCTAAGCATGGTAGATGACATTGCTATTCATTCATGATAGATGGCATTGAGAGAGAGAGACACTGCATCTACTTTATTGTTTTATAAAATATAAAGAAGAGATGTTAAAGGGAGAATTGTTTGTATTATATAAACGTAAAAGTAAGATGGTAAAGTCATGGGAGCCGGTTTGCAGTGCACAGTCTAATCAAGAGAAAAATAAATAAATAAAAAATACTAAAATGTTACTATTTGTCATTGCTGTCTTTATATGTAAAACCGTCGTAACATTTTAGCCGCGAAGAGACGCACTCCAATACAAATCAATATAATATTCAAGCTCCAACATGAAGAGAAAAAGAAAAGAAAATGTCGTACCAGATGCTCAAACACAGATAAAAATTATAGTCCAGCAAAAGAGAAGAAAGAAGTCATACCTGGAGAAATTATGCAAAACTAAAGGATAATAATCTGTGTGTGGTTTGGAGTCTATTCTTTTCTTTAGTTTTCTTTTTGTTTTTTTTTTTTCAAATTCCTATCTCTTTTCTCTTCAGCTCAGATCTATCAGGGAAACATGTTGCTTCTCCTACTTTCTTTCTTTCCCTCTAGAAAAAGCCCTCCTCCAAAAAAATCCCTTATAAAGACTTGTTGCCTCTCTTCTGAAAAATGTGTGAAAATTTTATCTCTTCTTGTTAAAAATTTTTTTTAGCTTTCTTTCTTTGAAAAAAATCCTACTTTCCTTCTCTTACTTGAGATTTTATATTGGGTACATTTAAGGTTTTTGCAAAATGCCAAGGTCCAGAGTTTTTTCCTTTTCCATGCTCAGAACTGGTTTTTGATACTTGGGGTATAAGCGCCTGTGACAGCGAGACTGCATCCAGAAATGTACCCCTTACTGTTACTCTCTCGCTATAGCGAGAAAGCCACACTTTCACTCCCTTCTCTCAGGACTTTCTCGCTACAGCAAGAACACATAAAAAATACTCACTTAATCTAATTTCAACCAATTCAGCACATCCAAACACAATGCACAATTAGCATTCACGTTTATCTCATGTATACACATATATCCACCTCATACATTCACACCACCATCTAATACACATCATCATCATATGCTCAATCATACAAACACATGAAAAACTCTATATATATACATATATAGTAATTAAAATATTATTACAAAATCCAGGGCGTTATATTGAACATGTAAAAAAACTTTTTTTTTAAGTGTAACATATGAGTTTGAGTTTTCTTAAATTTTAAGTTCAAGAGAGAAAATTTATTATTATTGCTAGATAAGAAATTTAAAGGTTTCATTGTATTCTAGGGAAATATCGTCATCAATCCATAGTAATTTCGTGTGAGGACGAACATCTTCTACACCAAATTTATTAATAGTTTTTAAATATTATAATATAGTCTTTTTATTTTTATTCATCACTTGAGGTATTTATAACCCTAAATTCCATCAAGATTTTGAACTAGCGAAATATGCCTTCAATCAAAGTTGTGTGCACGCGAAGTTTTAGTCAAAACTAACTTGAATAACTTCAGAAAAATTATGCGAGTCTAGTTAGGGTTATGATTAAAATTAAGTTGTAAGATCTTTGGGTTTATGATTGACAATGGATAATAACACATGAAAAAGGTCATATAAGGTTGGGTCAAAATTGGATTATGAATGGTTTAGTTTATGAATTTGGATCATTATCGGGTAATGAGATATCAAGCAAGTATAGTTACATTAGAAAACAAAAACAAAAAATCATGTAATTCAAGTCAAATTGGGTGAGGGATTGAAGTTGGTTTTGTTGAGAACGATTCATGTTGGCTTAATTTGGTAAATGAAGATGTAGAAATTAAATCTTCAATGAAAAAAATCAACATGTAAAGAATTTGATAAAAATAATGATTGGCGATCGTTATGTGTTTAGAAAAATTCAGGACACCGAATGTAAAATATTATATCTTTTGTATCTGTTTTGAATAATTAAATAATGAAACATTGCTAACAAGTTTATACATGTATTTTTCATCTAGTTTAATCAGGATCTGACCAATATCGTGCATATGAATATGATAGATGAGTCTATCATTAAAATTTTTTTGTATACACAAAAATTTAAATATGAGACCTTGCTTAAGCATGTCGACGTGCTTTCCACTCGGATAAACCTTTTATACATGTACTTTTTAATAAGTACTTATATTAATCAAATCATAAAAAATATGAATTTAGACAAAATTAAAGTATTTATTACAGCTTGTATATTCATTATGACTGAGGATGATAAAAAATTAGGTTAATATCATTTTCATATTTATTATCATTAAAGATAAACTAAATACAACAACAATGCAATCATTATTTTTTTATATTTTTGTATTTTATATAAAAAATTACAACAATATAATTATATTTATTAATTTCTGCTTCGTATTTTGATATAAAATTAGATGAAACAGAACCATAGAGTTAAATAAATATGATAAATTTTAATTAAAAAATATTTATTACAAGTTAATGTTAATATTATTTTTCACAAATTGAAATTTTACGCATAATTTAGCATACATGTTACTTTATATCATGTGTACATGTAAACTACTCTAATTTCTATATTAAAATATATGATTGTTATATATTAGTTATTTATTGTATATCTAGACTATTTATATGAATCTTCCCCTTCTACGGTGTAGAAATACAAACCCATCCTCATGCCATACAGATACAGTTAATATTCTTTTATATTTTATTTGGTTACAATGGAAAGGGAAAAAAAATGAATAATGATTATTTTTCTTTAGTTAGTCAATTAAAAAATAAAAAAATAGAAAGTGGATTTTTAAAATAATTTTTTTTAATTTCAATTTCAATTTTTTTTCCTCCTTGTTTCATTACTTATTCTTATATTTATTTCAATAAAAATTAATTATATGCGTAAAAATGGTGAATATCCATGAGTGCATTTTTATTGTAACGTTGCAAGCTTTGTACAGTGTCGTCATCCATGAACTACCATGTTGCTTCCTGCAACTCACTTCCACTTACACACCTTTCCTTCTTCTTCTTCTTCACAGTTGTTCCCTCTTCAATTCCCCAAACCTAAACCCAAATTCCTCATTTGCTGCTCCACTACCAACACCCGAACCCGAGCCCAAACCCAAATCCTCCCTTCCTCCGCCATTCAACAAATTGCCGACAAGCTCCGCAGCCTCGGTATCACCGAACCACCCGCCACTCCCTCCACCGAAATCACCGTGCCCTTTCCGCACCAACTCCCCAAGCGGCGTGTGTGCCACTCTTTCGAGCCAAGCTGGTCCACACCACTCAACCCGGTTCCGCTCCCTGGCTCCGGAATCGCTCTCCTCAGCCAGAACGAAGTGGCCAAACAGAAGAATCTCAAGGAAGAAGAGCTGAAGAGGAGGAGGATAGAGGAAGTAGTGCCGACGTTGGCGGAGCTGAGTCTCACGGATTCTGAAATTCGGAGGTTGACGACGCTAGGGTTTCGGTTGAAGCAGAAGGTTCGAGTTGCCAAGGCCGGTATCAACGATCGAATTGTCAACGCGATTCACGAGCGGTGGGAGCGTTCCGAGGTTGTGAGGATTGTTTGTGAGGATATTTGTAGATATGACTTGAGAAGGACTCATGATTTGTTGGAGGTGAATTCTATTGCTTCTGTACAATTTTGTTTTCCATGGATAATTCGATGCTCATCAATGAAATTAGCTTATTAGTAAGTGTGAGATTTGGAGTCAACTTTGTGGATGGATGTAAAGAAATTATTTTTAAAATTTTTTTTTTCTGGTCTAAATGGTAAGAAACTATTGGTAAATTGACACACATTACTTTTCGGGGTTTCATGAGTTCAGAGTTCGAGCTGTTAAGGTGGCGTTTGGTTGTTTTTGGAATAATGAAACAAGATTTTGTTGTTTCCCTGTTTCCTTTTAAAGTTCTTGAAATCAGTAGGCAAAGTGAAAGTAAAGTATTATATTTGTAATTATTTCTGAATGCATGTCAAGTAAAAACAAAATCAGGAAATAAACCAAACATTGCCTAAGTTATCAACCACAGGAGGTTTATTTTTCCTCCCCTGGATAAAGCTATAGTTGAAGAGGCTATTGTGTTTTAGCCTTTTTCCCCACTCTCCAATATGATTGTGGTGCCCCATGTATAATTATTTGATTATAGTTTTATTTTTCTTCGTCAGAGAAAAACTGGTGGCCTTGTTGTTTGGAGATCTGGACGTACAATAATATTGTACAGAGGGACTGATTATGAGGATCCTTACTTCATATCAGATAAAGATTTGAGACAAGACACTGATGATGATTTGCAACATATGGATGTTGATGATAAAAGTTGTGATAAAAGAGAGAGCCTCTCGCCTGAAACAAATTCAGCAACATGTGCTGTGCACAGTTCAAATGTTGAAACAGCAAAACCAGCTTTGATACTAGGTGTTGGTACTCCCAATAAAGTACGATTTCAACTGCCCGGGGAGGAAGAGCTAGCAGAAGATGCAGACTGCTTGTTAATGGGACTGGGGCCACGATTCACTGATTGGTGGGGTCATGATCCTCTGCCTGTCAATGCTGATCTTCTACCTCCTGTTATTCGTGGATATCAGAAGCCTTTTCGCCTTCTTCCTTATGGTGAGAATTCCAAACTAACAGACGATGAAATGACCACATTGAAGAGACTTGGTAGACCTTTACCTTGTCATTTTGCACTAGGTAAGTTTGTCCTATTTTTTCTTATCTGACCAGTGTTAGGTTTTAGGTTTGTTTGTAAGTGCTTATGAACAACTTAAGGAGAACAGTCTATGGCTTAGTTTGGGTAAACTTCTAGAGTAGTCCTTATAGGAGAAAAAAATTAGTATTAAAAATGAATAAAATTTCTCTCATAAGTTAAAAACGACTTATCTCCTCAAATTTAGAGAAATTAAATTAGAGAGCTTCTAAAAAAATTGAAAAGCATAATTTGTTTCTAACTTATGAGAGGTTTTATTTATTTTTTATACTGATTTTTTTCTTCTATAAAGACTTAAAGTTTACCCAAATTGGGCTTATGACTCTCATACGCTGTTTTCAATTTATTCAATAAATTTCTTGATACAGCTTATGAAAACAGTTGTTTTTAATTTATTCTAATAAGTTTCATTGTTAAATTTATGGTATAAGTCTCTGTTTAAAAATAATTTATTGAATAAATGTATAAATAAGTAATACACCCTTAATTGTTTTGCTTGCTTCTTTTTTACAGGTAGAAATAGGAAACTTCAAGGATTGGCTGCTGCAATTGTTAAACTTTGGGAAAGATGTGAGATTGCCAAGATCGCTGTAAAGAGAGGTGTGCAGAATACTAGCAGTAAGTTAATGGCTAAAGAGTTAAAGGTCAGTTACTGTTTTTGATTTTATGAAACTTAGCACTTATAGTATAAATATTACGGTAAGTGGAAGTGTATGACTTGTCATAGCCTATGCCTGCTCTTTCTTGTGCCATATGTTGTGTGCGAATGACATTCGTGCTGTTTACTGCTATTATTCATTAATTTGGTTTCTCAATTATTTTAGAAGATGAGTTGCAAGGGTCTTTCACCTTGGATGGTAATGAACATCATATGTTTGCTGTCATTCTTATGTTCATGCTGGAGACTGAACTGAAGGACCTTTGAATACTGTCCTTAACTTGCACATCAGTTTTCTCCTACTTAAACATATATGACAAAAGTGGACGCTAGATATTTTTGATTCTAATGTTATGTTCCTGGGTTTAGTAATTTCAATTGTTTTTTCTTGCATGCCCAAATAAGATATCATGTATACATAAAATTTATGAGATATCATATATATCTTTCAAATCAACTATCTCAACTGTCAAGTAATTTCAGTTTAAACAGATCTCATAAAAGATATATATGATACCATTATATCTCAATTTCAGTTTAATAAAATATCCACTTTTCTGCAGCATCTGACTGGAGGAACTCTGCTTTCTCGAGATAGAGAATTCATTGTTTTTTATAGAGGAAAAGACTTCTTGCCAGTTGCAGTGTCTTCAGCAATTAAAAAGCAGAGGAATATTGGACTGTACAAACTGAAGGCTGCAATGTTTTCAGCAATTAGACAGCGCAGGAATATTGGAAGGTGTAAACTGAAGGGTGGAAATAGTTCATCAGTTACGGTCACTCCAGACCAGAAAAATGGAATCACAGAGTGTGATTCTGAAGGAAATGATATGACCTTCCGGAAAGATACTAAACAAAGAACGTTGACTAAGGCTGAGGCAGCTATTAAAAGAACTAGCATCAAATTGTCAATGGTATGATTTTATAATTTGCTATTGTTTGTATTTTTTTTGTTTTTTTTTTTTTTGAGTTACAGATGGTATAGCTTTCACATACAGGCATTAGAAAAGAAAGCAAAGGCTGAAAAACTTCTAGCAGAGCTGGTAAGTGCAGAGAGCCCTCAAGAACAAGAAATAGATAAAGAGGGTATGACTAACGAAGAGAAATACATGTTGCGGAGGATTGGCCTGATGATGAAGCCCTTCCTGTTACTAGGTGATTCTTGAAAATGATGTTCGAAATTCACAATCATAGATAGTTAATTATTCTATTTTGAAAGTAAATGAATGAAGTATTTAAGGGTCAATTTGATGAATATGATAGGATAGAAAATTATAAGATATGAGAATGGGATAAGAATCAATAAAAGAAAGATAAACCCTAATCTTATCCTAATGTACATTAAGATAGTAAACCATGTAACACTATGCCATTCTATTATGGTTGAGATAAACACAAAGTAATAAAATAAGATATAAATTATATTTAAATGATAAAATTTCTTTTTTATCAAAATTAATATTTTGTCAAAATAATTTTTTATTTTAATTTTTGACTTTTTAATAAAAAATATATTAAGAATTTTAAAATATTTTTGTATATATATAATATTAAAATTTTGATATTAAATTATAATAAATTTATTCAATTTTTTACAATTTAAAATTATTTTTTTATAAGAAATTGTAATTTTAAGAAATAAATTATAAAAAAACTCTTCATTGTCAGGTAGACGAGGGGTTTTTGATGGAACGGTGGAAAATATGCATCTTCATTGGAAGTATCGTGAACTTGTGAAGATAATATGTAAGGGAAGCCTGGAAGATGTCCATCAGATAGCTCAGACCTTAGAGGCAGAAAGTGGTGGAATATTAGTGGCAGTAGAGAGGGTGAGAAAGGGATATGCAATCATTGTGTACCGTGGAAAGAATTATAGTAAGCCTTCTTGTTTGAGGCCTCAAACACTTTTAAATAAAAGGCAAGCATTGAAGCGTTCTATAGAGGCACAGCGCCGGGAGGTAAAATTGTCATCATCAACATGTATTTGAGTAGGAGTGTTAGTTAATTTGTTTTCTACATTTCCTTTTTCGAAAAAGTAGGGTGAGAGAGAGATTTATTTGCCTGTTAAACCACGTAAAATGATAAAAAAGGGTTGGTTTTGCTTGAGCTTTCAGAAAATTATCTATTTTTTAAATACTTTTTTAAAAAGTAAAGGCTATTTTATGTTTGGATGTAAAATTTGAGATTTTTTTTTTTTTTTTAAGTGTCTGAATAGAACAGTATATTTAATGTTGTAAAATTTATCTTTTTAAGAAGCACAAAATTCTAGCTATAAAAAAGAAAAAAAAAACATTTGTGGTTTTTTTAGTGCTTCAGCTTTTTGAGGGAAAAAAAGGCTCATCCCAACACAGTAAAATATAATGAACATAAAACAACTTTTTCCTTATCAAGAAAAAGAACATTCAATGTTTATTTGGTAGAGTGATGGAGTTAAGTGATCACTACATTGTAGCATGTATTTTCATCCTTGCCATTTAATTTTTTGAAAAAGGAATTGATTGCTAATCTTATATTGATATAAATACCACCACCTTATTCCTTTTTACTCATTTCTTGCAGTCATTGAAGCTTCGTGTTTTGAAGCTAGATAAGAAAATAAACGAATTGAAACTTAAAATGGTGAGTGGACCTCATTTTTATTGTTCAGACTCCTTAAATTGGAATTCTTTGGGAGAAGCTTCTGTTGACAATCAACAAGCAATACTGGAACAGCCAGTTGAGCTGATTGATGGTGGATCTCATCAATGTGAATCAGAAAATTCGATAAATTGGAATTCTTCTATAGAAGCTTCTGTTGACAATCTACAAGCAATACAGGACCAGTCAGTTGAGCTAATTGATAATAGTGGAGCACAAGATCAACCAGAAAATTCCATAAATTGGAATTCTTCTATAGAAGTTTCTTTTGACAATCTACAAGCAATACAGGACCAGTCAGTTGAGCTAATTGATGATAGTGGAGCACATCAAGATCAACCAGAAAATTCCATAAATTGGAATTCTCTGAAACAAGTTTCTCTTGACAATCTACATGCAAAACAGGAGAAGCCAGTTGAGCTGATTGATAGTGATAGAGCTCAACAAGGTGAACCAGAAAATTCCATAAATTGGAATTCTCCTAAAGAAGCTTCTGTTGAGTTGATTGATGGTGGTGAAGCTCATAAATATGAACCAGAATCCTGGTCTAGTTTGATTCATAAAGAACCAGAGGTAAGCACATGGCTTTGACTGATGAAGATTGAACTATTGACCTCAATCCTCACTTGGATTAACATGTGGTTGTGTCAGGGCTTCCTTTGACTTGTTTTTGGCTGTTATTTCTTTTTAAAATATTGATTTGGTAAAATTAACATGGATTTCAGTTGGATGGAGTGAGTGACCCTGTGGCTGGTATTGAGCATTGCATCTCTAATAGCAAGGCAATGGAATCGTCAATTCCATTGTCAGAAATTGATTCTGAACCATCAGCTCCAATGATTAGTTCAAATGAGTTGCCTTCTAGATCTGTGCATCTTTCCAACAGAGAGAGAATTCTTCTGCGAAAGCAGGCATTACTGATGATAAAGGAACCTGTCCTTGCCATCGGTATTGTTTTCAGCTTTAGTTTCTTTTTGCCAATATTGTTTTATCTTGGGTTGTCCTGACACTATACAATGTTTATGCGATCTTGCTTGGAATTTTTTCTTTGTAGCTTTATTTTGTGTCAGTTGTTTTTTATTTTTTTATTTTTTTGGGGGGAGTGGAGGGAGGGGGTGTTCTGTGTTAACTAAAGAAGCTATAACATGTTTTAGCGGAGTAAAGATAGCTAATTAGCCCTCTAGGTTTTGGTCCTCATTACAATAGAGAAATGGCAAAAACTGTTAGCTATTTTATCTCAGTTCTTGTGGGTGTTGAATGACAAAATTGAAATTTTTTTCATTCTGGATTGGTAACAAATGAAGCTTCAATTAATTGGAAGGAATATTATCTCTCATTTTTGTTCTGTGGCCATACTTTCTTTTCAGGAAAGAGCAATATTGTGTCTAGCGTTGTGAAAGCAATTAAAGCTCACTTCCGTAAGCACCCTCTTGCCATAGTTAATGTCAAAGGAAGGGCAAAAGGGACCTCAGTTCAGGAGTTGGTTTTCAAGCTAGAGGTGCACATACTGAATTCCTTCCCTTCTCCTCATCTCTTCTTCCTTGTTGAGTCATTTTTACTGTTCTTGGGCAGTAAATATTCCCTAAGTTATTAAATTTTTTTCCCTATTTTTCTTGCAGCAAGAAACAGGTGCTGTTCTAGTCTCTCGGGAGCCTAGTAAAGTCATACTTTACAGGGGTTGGTGGGCAGCATCGGAATCTAGCACTATCATAAATGTTAATAAAGTGGGTAATGAGGAAGAGGCAAAGCCCAGCGTTACTCCTGCCTCTACACTCAGGGTCTGGAACAGGAAAAGAAGAATAAGTAGGATAGGGAAAAGAAGAATGAGGACAGGCTCAAGGCCAATTCATTTTTTCAAGAGAGATTCCAAACCCTTCTTTAGTGCTCGATCGCGACATAATACTTCTCGGTGAAGGAACCTGAGCAGCTATGTAATCAGCGACTGTTGGAACTAACCAGCAGAGGTGATCGTGGGTTGCAGTAACAAACAACAAACAACAGACCATTGCATCACTTTGCTGATCAAGTTTCTACTGACATATTGCCGGAATTTTTTCATCAGCACTGATTGTGGTGGTGTTGTTTGCACTATGGTATATAGGAGATGGAGCTGTGGAACTCAGAGAGAGGAAATTTGGGTGATGATGAAAATTTTTGGAGATCATGAGAATATTGAGATTTTTAGTGGGAAGGAGAACACCAAACAGGAACTGGAAAAGGAGAAATACGAATGGAGCCTCAACTAAGCTTTAAAGCCTTTCTTCAGTCCTCCAGTTCCTAGTGTCTTTTTCAAAAGTTTTTCTCCACTGGGACTGAACTGAAATGTCTTGTAATAGCTCGCAGAAGCTCGATATGCTTTAGTCATATTGAACGAACAGCGATTTAGATGCAGAGTAGAAAGAGAAGAAAACAGAAGCTAGTAAAAAGGTATTAATTAGAAAAGTACAGGGAAAAGAACGATTGAAAAGGGTATTAAATGTTTGAATGCATATAAAGGAAAAGAAATAATTTAGTTCATTAATTGGAAATCTTGAACTCCATTACATCCTTGTCCCGTCTTTTCAGATTTTTTTTCTTTCTCATCTACATATCTATCCACTTTATAAAGCTTACTCACTATTTATTTCAGATTAAAGGAAATGAGAGAAGAGAAACAAAATTAAATTTATAAATGTCTTTTTCTGTCCTCCTAATTCTCTCTTTAACAAAACAAAAAGAAAATGCATTGTTATTTTTTTATCTCTAGTGTCTTTCTTTTTATATAAATAAATCATCAAAGGAGCATCAATGTTACATTGTGAGCCACTCTTCCTTATGCCTCCCTTTTTATTTTTATTTCATATTCCATCCTTTTTAATTTTTTTTTTGCCATAACTTTTTTATTTTATTTTTAAAAAATGTTCGAGTACAGTTAAATAATTTTATATTAGGTATGAAAATAAAAAAAATTCAATATATAAGCAATACAAAAAAGTTTTTTTGGTTTGATTTATTTTTATTCAAAATAAAGGAAATACATATGGAAAATTATTTGCTATAAAAAAGTTTACTATTGTTAAATATTTGGTATTTTAAAATTAACTTAAATACAATTTTAACCTGTGTAAATGTCTTTCTTGAGAATTACTTTGTTAAATGTATGAATTAAAAAAGGCAATTTTAAAAAGCATCATATTTAGGAAGAAAACATATTTAAACTTTTAAACAATTATAATATAGCATTTTATGGTGAATAATAACATATACGTGTTAAATAATAATTTTTTTGTGAAAAATAAACAGACTAAAAATTAAATAACCAATTTTGATACAATAGTGATAATGCTAGTTATAGTATACTGCTTAATATGTAAAAACTCGTACTATACATTGTATTTTTTGTTATTTTTACTATTAGAGAAAGATATTCTAAAGATATATATAGAAATAAAAATGATTGCAATAAAATATCTGTTGGTGCATTTTAATATAGCTTTATATAGTAGTATCGTTCGTTATCCATGCCCATCAACTAACAACTACTACACTACTGAGATGCTGCTTCCTGCAATTCACTTTCATTGCACTTCATTGTACTTCTTCCCTCATCAATTCCCCAAAACCAAATCCAAATCCCTCATTCGGAGCTCCGACACTCAAACCCAATCCCAAACCCGAACTCTCTCCGACTCCGCCATTCAACGAATCGCCGACAAGCTCCGCACTCTCGGCATCACAGACGAAACCCCCACACCACAACCACCACCACCTCCGCCTCCTCCCTCCTCCGCCGGCGAAATCTTCGTTCCCCTACCTAGCCACCTCCCTAAGCGCCGCGTGGGCCACACCATCGACCGCAGTTGGACTGGAGCAGCGAAAGAGGAGAAGAGGAGGAGAGAGGAGAGAATGCCGACGTTGGCGGAGCTGAGCCTCTCTGATGCGGAGATTCGGAGGTTGATGAAGTTAGGGTTAGGGATGAAGCAGAAACTGAAGGTTGGGAAGGCCGGCATCACCGAAGGAATCGTGAACGGAATTCACGAACAATGGAGGAGCTCCGAAGTGGTGAGAATCGTTTGTGACGATCTTTGTAGATTCAACATGAAAAGAACTCATGACTTGTTGGAGGTAAGTTAACCCCCCTGCCACTGCTATTACTTGTTCCAAATCAGAGCAAACGCTCAAATTGATCTGCCAAAATTATGAATCACACCTTGTGACATGTATAATTATGCTTCATGACTCACGATTCACAAATGCCTGTTATGTTAATCCTTTTCAGGAATACAATGAAGTGTCACTTGCTTAAAGAGTAACATTTATGATTGTTTAGTAATGTTTTTAAAACGGAATTGGTGATCAAACTTGTTGAAGCACCAGTTCATGGTTCAAAGGTTCAAAAAATGGTTGAACTTATCTTGAATTAGTGATGGTTACATATACTTTTTTTAATATTATTTAATATATGAAGTGTCAAATTAATATAAACTTATAAGAAAATTAAGTTAAGCAACATTTTAAATTAGTACAAAAGGGTCATAATAAATAGTTAAATAGTAGTAGTTCATAAATACATCTCATACATGAGCCTCTATTCATTTTAAAAATGCTATAGAATTAAAAAATTAAAAGTAAAAGAAAAAAGATTTTTAAAAACTGATTTAGACTAGTTCATTGGCACTGGTTAATACTTAGTTTTGGCCGGCTCTTGACCGATTTAACTAGTTTTTTTTTCTACCAATTTCTTGAGTTGTTCTGACAGATTGGCTTGTCTCCAAAGCAAAAGGTCAAATCAGCCAGTTTTCAAAAATATGTTTTTTAGCGACAAAATTAAATTTTCGTATCATTAAAAACTAACTAACGTGTTCCATGGTAAATTTCGAAGAGACAAATTTGGGGTAGTACTGTGAAGATTATAATCAACTTTATGGACAGATAAGAATTTTGGTGAAAAAAGGGCATAAAGCCCGAAAGAAAGGGGAAAAAAAAGGAAATAGAATGGGGCATGGAAGCCATTGACATGTCACTGAGAATCATATTAGCTAGCTTCATAGGAGGAGAGGAAAGAGGGTGGAAACACAACTCTTGGTGTATTCTACAGTTTGCTATCCAATCTTCTTATATATATATATATATATTTATTTATTTATTTTTATTTATTTAATTTTTTTTTCTGACTAAAATGTAAGAATTAATGCATGGATATTTCAAAATTGATAGCCTACTCATGCAGAATATCTAAGAAACCTAAGTAATCAACTTCCAAAAAAATTAATAACAACTTTTAGATTTAAGATATACCAGTATCATACCCTATTCCTGTACCAATGTAAACTACGAAATTCCCTTCAGCCATTAGTGAATGCACAAAACGCCGTGTGGTTCAAAACTCACCCTTAAAATTGACTAAGTGTGTTTTCTGCCTCTGCACAAGTAATTAAATTAACTCTACTTTTTCAGAGTTTGATTCCTAAGTGGTATTTGTTTTCCATTTGCTTTTTCATTAGCAGTTCATATGACTTAATAATTATTACAAAAATGCCATTCTATTTTCACATTTTCTGTTTCTGATATATTGTTAAAATTACAAAAACAAGATATTGTTGTTTTCAAATCATGTTTCCTTTGCAAATTCTTGAAATCAGGGAATAAAGTGAAATACATGTGGCATATTTGTTATTATTAGTGAAAACATATGAAATGAAAGTAAAAAAATAGAAAATAAACCAAACACTACCTAAGTTTTCAACCACAGGACAGGAGGTTTTCTTCGATAAACCTATGGCTGGAAGGGTATCTGCATTTTACCCTTTTGTTTTCTTCGACATGATGTTGGTGACCCATGTATAATTATCTGATTGTAGCTTATTTCTGTCATTGTCAGAGAAAAACTGGAGGTCTTGTTGTTTGGAGATCTGGAAGTAAGATAATATTGTACAGAGGGACTGAGTATAAGTACCCGTACTTCTTATCTGATAAAGTTTTGAGAGATGACAACCCCGGTGATGCTCTGCAACGTATGGATGAGGATGATAAAAATCATGATAAAAGAGAGGACCACTCATCTGAAACAAATTCAGTGACATATGCTGGTCATAGTTCAAATGTCAAAACAGCAAAACCAGCTCTGATCCAAGGTGTTGGTACTCCCAATAAAGTAAGATTTCAACTGCCTGGTGAGGCAGCGCTTGTGGAAGATGCAGACTGCTTGTTGACAGGGCTCGGGCCACGATTCATTGATTGGTGGGGATATGACCCTCTGCCTGTTGATGCTGATCTTCTACCTGCTGTTATTCCTGGCTATAGGAAGCCTTTTCGCCTTCTTCCATATGGTGTGAAACCTAAACTTACAGATGATGAAATGACCACATTGAGGAGACTTGGCAAACATATACCATGTCATTTTGCATTAGGTGAGTTTGTCGAACATTTTCTTATATGTTCAAAATTAGGTTTAATTGTTTTTCTTGTTCTTTTGTTTCAAAGGTAGAAACAGGAATCTTCAAGGATTGGCTGCTGCAATTATTAAGCTTTGGGAAAGATGCGAGATTGTCAAGATTGCTATAAAAAGAGGTGTGCAGGATACTAACAGTGAGATGATGGCTGAAGAGATAAAGGTCAGTTAAGCAATTTTTAAATTTTATGAAATTTAGCACTTATGGTTAAAAATTATGGTACATGAAAGTGCATATCATGTCATAGTCCATGCGTGCTGATTTTGACACCATATATTGCATGTGAATGAGATTACTGCTGCAACCAGTTATCATTCATTGATATCGTTTATAAAATATTTGAGAAGTAACCTGAACTCAACACCACACACAGAATACTAGCTAACAACACCCAAAAACCGGATCAATTCACACAACAGAAGCAACACTAACCAGAAAATACAGTGACAGAAAAAGAGAGACAAAAAAGGTACCACTAACTCACAGAGCTGTGATGTCCCAAGGCTGGTGGGTGTATTCCTTTCTAACTTCCACTCTATCCCTGTAAATTCCCATGCTGCTCCTTATAATGATTGCCCACTCCCCTTGCTACCCTGTGCCCCTCTCCATGGTCTTGGACCTCTATTGGAGTAGTACAGCAATTTATCTCGGTGGTTTTGGGTTCCATCATTTTGCTTTCATCTGGCTTCTGCTGATTGATTTGGAAAACTTATGTATATTAAGGTTGTCATAATGAGGTGTCGAATATTGACTGATGACCCAAGCGATGCTTATTTAGACAATGCTATTAAATTAATGAGGTCCTGGTATGATGTCGACTGTTTAACTTGTAAATAAATTTTTATCAATGCTAAGTTGCGAAATGATACTACTCTTATCTTATGATAACTAAAGTGAACCTTATATGATAAAACTCTTCACTTTTGACCTCAGTTTAATACTTACATGGTTGGCTTTTCACTTTATCTTTTCTCTTTTCTTGTCCCAAGAGACAAATAGAAGAACTCGAAGATCCACTATCAGTTTTAAATTTAATTGCATTAATGATATAATAGTTGAGCTGGTGGTTTTGAAAGAATTTAATAAAGCACAATCTTGTTTTATATGATACCATTCTGTCTCAACTTTGGTTTAATAAAAGATATTTCTCTGCAGCATCTGACTGGAGGAAATCTACTTGCTCGGGATAAAGAATTCATTGTTTTCTATAGAGGAAAGGACTTCTTGCCAGCTGCAGTGTCTTCAGCAATTGAACAGCGGAGGAATGTTGGAATGTACAAACTGAAGACTGGAAACAGTTCATTAGTTACAGTCGCTCCAGACCTGAAACAAGGAGCTGTAGAATGTGATTCTGCTTTGACCTTCCAGAAAGATAATAAACAAGTAACCTGGACTGATGCTGAGGCAGCTATTAAAAGCACTAGCATGAAATTGTCAATGGTATGATTTCATGAAGTTCCGATTTGCCTTTTTTAATTCTTTTTTTGGAGTTACAGTTGGTATAGCATTAACATACAGGCACTAGAAAAGAAAGAAGAAGCTGAAAAACTTCTAGCAGAGTTGGAAACTGCTGAGAGCCCCCAAGAACAAGAAATCAATAAAGAGGGTATTACTAAAGAAGAGAGATACATGTTGCGGAGGATTGGCTTGAAGATGGGGCCCTTCCTGTTACTAGGTGACTCTAGAATATGATGTTTGAAATTCATAATGATAGATTGTTGATTATTGTAAATTTGGAAGTTAAATAAATGAGACCTTTAAACCTTTTTAAAGTACTTGACTTATACAAAACCTATTCCTGATAAATCCTCTCTTCATTCTCAGGTAGACTAGGGGTTTTTGATGGAACAGTGGAAAATATGCATCTTCATTGGAAGTATCGGGAACTTGTGAAGATAATATGTAAACAAGGAAGCTGGGAAGATGTCCATCAGATAGCTAAGACCTTAGAGGTAGAAAGTGGCGGAATATTAGTTGCAGTAGAGAGAGTGAACAAGGGCTATGCAATCATTGTGTATCGTGGAAAGAATTATAGTCGGCCTGGGAGTTTGAGGCCTCGATCGTTATTAAATAAAAAGCAAGCACTGAAGCGCTCTAAAGAAGCACAGCGCTATGAGGTAATGTTGTCATCAACAACTAGTATTTGCACAGAAGTGTCAGCTGACTTGTTTAATACTACTATATAAAAAATAGAAAATGAAGGATACGGTGGTATTTGCCTGGTTTACTGCACGTAAAATGATGATTTGCATCGCCTATTTGTAAAATTGATATTTATATATGATCTTTTTAAAATAGTATATTTGGATGTAAAGACGCATTTTGGATAAATATCATTTTGAACAGCCTTTATATATGATCTTTTTTAAAATTGTATAGGTGATTTGCATCGCATTAAAAGGTTGTTTTGATATTTGAATAGCCTTTTAATGCTATAAAAACCCAGTTTGGATAAGCTAATCAACTAGTTCTTATGCAAGAAGAAAATGGGGGGTAAAAAATTGAATGAAATTTCTCATAAGATAAAATGAACTTAGTACATTCCTTTTCTAGAAGTTCTAACATTTAAATTCTCCAAAAGTTGAGGTGTATAGATTAACTTTAACTTTTGGGAGAAGTGTGAATGTTTTCATGTGATCATGAGTGATTTTATGTTATATTTCTAACAATTTGAAAAGGGAATTGACCACTAATCTTATATGATTTACAACCTCATGCCTTTCTCCTCACTTCCTGCAGACACTGAAGCTCCATGTTTTGAAGCTAGATAAGAATATAAACGAATTGAAGCTTCAAATGGTGAGCGGTCCCTGTTTTGTTTATTATGTTTCTGAAATACATTTTCATTTCAATTAAGGAATATGGATTATTCACCTGATTAGGTTAAAGATATGGAGGCAAACAATAAGCAGACTTCTGTGGTTGACAATCAACAAGAAATGCAGGAGCAGTCAGTTGAGCTGATTGATGGTGGTGGAGCTCGTCAGGGTGAACCAGAAAATTCCTTAAATTGGAACATTAAAGCTTCTGTTGAGAATCATCAAGCAATACTGGAGCAGCCGATTGAAGCTCGCCAAAGTGAACCAGAAAATTCCATAAACAGGAACTATCCTAAAGAATCTTCTGTTGACAATCGACAAGCATTACAGGGGCAGCCAGTTGGGCTGATTGATAGTGGTGACGCACGTCAAGTTGAACCAGTAACTTCCATAAATTGGAATGCTCCTAATGAAGCTTCTTTTGACAATCACCAAGCAATACAGGGGCAGCCAGTTGAACTGATAAATGGGAGTGAAGCTCATCAAGGTGAACCAGAATCCTTGTCTGGTTTGATTCCTAAAGAAACAAAGGTAAGCACATGGGTTTGACATGTGAAAAATGGATTTTTGACCTTAATCCTCCCCTGAATTATCATCCGGTTATGTCAGGGTTTGCCTTGACATTTTCTGGATTCTTGTTTCTTTTCTAAATATTGATTCGGTAAAAGCATCATGGATTTCAGGTGGATGGAGTTGGAGTTGGTGATTCTGTGGTTGATACTAAGCATTGCGTCTCTAATAGCAAGGTAATGAAATCATCAATCACAGCATCAAAGAGTTTTCCTGAAGCATCAGCTCCAGGAACAGATACGAGTTCATTTGAGTTGCCTTCTAGATCTGTATATCTTTCCAACAGAGAGAGACTTCTTCTACGGAAGCAGGCATTGAAGATGAGAAAGCGACCTGTCCTTGCAATAGGTATTGTTTTGGCTTTTTCTCTTTTTGCCAACACTGTTCGTTCGTTTCTTAAGGTGTCTTAACACTTATCTTTTAATTTTGTGCTATGCAAACTTGCAAAGTGTTTTTGTTTTGTTGCTTACCTTGTGTAGTTTTCTACTTTTTATTTTCGTTTTTATTGGGGGAAGAGAGAGAGAGGAGGGGGGAGGGGGGAGAACCTTGTTTTTCTTTTTGGTGTTTCTCTTCTCTGTAAAAGGGCTACAAGAGTAGATTTTATTTTCTAAAATAAAGAAAATACTAGAGGCGGAAACTTCCCCAGATAGCTAATTGACGGAGCTTCTAGCCTTCTACTTTTTAGAAGACAAGCTAAAACAAGGGGTAGCCAAACACTTACTTGGTACAAATAGGAAGTGACAAAAATTGTTACCCTTTCTTAATCTCACTTTTCCTTACTGGTAAATCTTCAATTTATGTCAACATCTTGAAAGTTTTTTATTCTAGATTGATGTATCTCCTTGCACGTTGCACGTGGCTCTGGAGCTGCTTTTTTCTGCCTTGTCTCGTGTTGTATTTCTTCTGTATTTTCCTCAAGTTATGCCAATTGGAAGCACCGTCTTCATGCTTTTATCATTTGATGGCCACAATTTCTTTTCAGGAAAGAGCAACATTGTTGCTGGTGTTGCGAAAGCAATCAAAGCACACTTCCGGAGGCACCCTCTTGCCATAGTTAACGTCAAAGGAAGGGCAAAAGGGACCTCAGCTCAGGAGTTGGTGCTCAAGCTAGAGGTGCACATGCTGAAAACTCCTTCCTTTTTTTTCATTTCTTCCCCCATTGAATCATCCTTATCTCTGGCAAAAATTACTCACTAAGTCCCTATTTTTATTCTTACAGCAAGCGACAGGTGGTGTTCTAGTCTCTCAGGAGCCTAACAAAGTCATACTTTACAGGGGTTGGGGGGCAGGAGAGGAACCTAACACTGCCATAAATGTTAATGAAGTGGGTAAAGAGGGCAAGGCAACGCCCAGGGTCTCTTCTGAATTGTTGGAAGCAATCAGAGTGGAATGCGGGTTGCAGTGACAAACAGAACATTGCAGCTCTTTACCGATCAAGTTTTTACAAACATGTTGCCGTGTTTTTTTCATCAACAATAAAGATTTGCAGGAGGTAGAGCTACGAAGTCAGAGAGAGGAAATTTGGGGATTGTTGATGATGAATATTGAAATTGTTTTAGGGGTTAGAGAACACCACACAGAATCTGGAAAAGAAATAAGAAATGTACAAAAGGGTAGAGCCTCAATTATTCTTGAACCCGTTCTGAGTCCTCAAGTGATGTGGATAGGTAAACGGTCAGAGTCAACAATCCACAGTTAAAGTCAATTATGTGATGTGGCAAGTGACATGGATTAACAGTGACCATAGCTGCTTTAGTAGGTGACTGGACGACGTGACACAAACAGCTTTAACTCACACGTGCGAGTGTGTGCCTGATCAGGTTTTCATAACAATTTACGTCCTCACAGATTAGAGGATTCTAGCCATGATGATGTAATATGTTCTTCAAAGTGATGTCCAAAACCAGAGTATGAGAACCTGTGTTTGAATGAATACAAAAGTTAAGATGGTGATGGGACATGACAATACTATCAAAATTAATAAGAAATAGAATGAAAAGCAAATTCCAGGGTATTCATATTGGGATGATTTCCCTGATAAAGTTTGGTTGCGTATAGAGAGGAAAAGTAAAAAATGTTAGAGAATTTAAAATTAGGAAAATTAATTACATTATTTAAATGTGTAGTATTTTAAAATATTTTGTTTGTTTGAGTAATTATTTCCTAAAAAAATAGATTTATATGGATAGAGTCATTAATTTTTTTCTTTTTCTCTTTTTTTTTGGTTTTAAAAACTTTGTTTGGACGAGGTAATTAAATTTTTTATTTAAAACATTATGTTAAAAACAGATAGAGTAATTGAATTAATCTTTTATTTTTAAAACATAAAATTATAACTTTGAAAATTTAATTGAAATATCAAATTATGCTCATGATATGACTTAACAAAATCTTTTGAAGCTGCTGCTAGTTACATCAGATATCATTACTTGAATACAATTATTATTATTATTATTATTATTATTAAAACTCTTGGACAAATTTAAGAATACGATATATTGCATTGGTGTTTAATTATTTAAAAAAAATGTTATTTTGCTTTATATCGGTACTAGCAATAGCCCATAGAAACAGAGTATAATAACAGCATCCAGCACCAGTTTGAGGACTACTGCTCTAGCTAATTATTTTGCTTTAAACCATCACCAATATCTATATTTTAACTCTCCCCAGCTGCTTCCTTTCTTTTCAATTCAAAATACACATGGTTTCTCTCCAGCTAAAGAGACCACGTAATTGATACTTGTACTCATCTAATATTATTTACTTAGCGTAGACTCTGTGATGTTGTATACTTAACAGCACCACCCCACCCCTTTAACAACAATGTCGTTTCTCGTAAAAATGCCACAGATTTAAATCATTTTCAATTGCTAATACACAATTCAGCTTTGAAGTACTTATGACAGATGTCTAAAAGCAAGGATGATGAAAGCTAAAACTTCATAACAGGAACGTAACAATGGATTTTACAAGTTACTAATCATGTCCAACAAGGAGGTGTTATTTAGTTCTCTCTACAAGAGACTATCTCCAACTACTTATTGGAAGTTATCTCTGGTGAAATCCTTAGCATGATAAACTCTCTTCCAAGAAACAAATTTAAAATTAAATATAACACAACAAGAAGGTTGTTTTGTGAGAGATGAAGATACCATAGAATAGATATTTGCAAATTTCCCATCAAATTTTATAAGGGGTGATCGAAATAATTTTGTCGAAAAAGGAATAAAGAAAATACCATACTTGTAAGGTGGAATCACAAACAACAAAAAGGCAATGCTCTTAAATATGAAATAACCATCCTACACTTTCATTGCTTTGTTATTTTGCTCTCTTTGCATAACCTTGGCATTCAAGCTTAATTAACAAAAAATATATTAACTGAAGTAGACCCACTGTGATTTAAGGAGGTTAAAAGTTAAAAAAGAAAAGAACTTAGCTTTGCAATTCTATGTTACACGCTTTAGAGGCTTTTTATATAAATAAGTTTTAAAAAATAAAAAATGTGAAATATGTACTCTTTTTAAAAAAATTTAAAACGTGTCTTCATTTATGATGTTGAAGCCAAATATACTTATCTAGAAATAAAATATAAATAATTTATAATAGTGGTATAACTGTCTTAATTTTAATATAACTGCATTTAAGTTTTTAAGTTTTAAACTTTTGAAAATCAAAACATTTTCTACATAATTTTATGCAATTTATATATTTATTAAACAATTTATTCTATCTTGAACATAAATTGTCTAAGTACTGTAACATTCATATTAATAACAAAAATTCTATAACAACTTTTAATACCTATTAATTTTTTAATGATAAAAAAATACATAAATTAAATATGAGATCATCATTTTTAATATTCTATTAGTATGTAATCAAGCAATAGAAAATAATTAGACTAAAATACAAAAAATAATAAAATAAAAATGCAAAAAAATAGAAAAAGTTAGAATTTAAAAACAAAATTGTCCAAATCTCCTCTAAAACTCATGTGTAAATATAAAAAAAAATTCATTTAGTTAAATAATTATATAAAATAGATATATAATTTACATAAATCAGACTTTTAAAAAAATTATACTTTTAATATTTTAAAATTAAATTTAATTCCAACGAATTCATGTTCAATAATTTAATAGGACGTATTTAATATATAACTTTTATTATTTTAAATTTAATATATGTAATTACTTTTTGGCATGAATAGGTTTTAAAAATTTTCTTTTAACTTCCTTAAATCACATTTGGTCTACTTGAGTAAATCTATTTTTTATTATTAAGCTCATGAATGGCAATGTTATTCAAAGAACTTAGCATCGCAATTTACACGCTTTAGATTATATGAGTGTAATTTAATAAATACTTGTATTACTTAAAATCTGGTACTGAATATAATTTTTTATTTTGCATACATATTTTTAAAATATTTCCTAAAATTACAAGATAAAGAAAAGATCGTGAAATTAGAAATTACAGTGATGTACTTGTTGTTCTTGAGTACTGTTGTCCCAGCAATTCGTACATTTCGAGCGATTCAACTTTTTAACTCTGGTCAAACTTGTCAGACAACGAGTCAATCTAGAGCTCATCTATGTCTACTCAACCTATGTGTTTTTCGTGTCATAATTTGCAGATGTAACGTCAACAAATAAAAAATGCATATGCATTTATAAAATTATAATTATATATATAATTATAAGTTTATTAAAAATTAAAAATTAAAAATTAAAATTGTTTATGAACTCCTTTTAACTTCTTTTCTTATGCATAAGATAAAAAAAAATACTATGTAAATATACTACTATGATTATTAAAAAGAAAACAATATTTAGGTAGTTTAAATTTAGTTTTAAATTAATCTTATAGTAGAAGAAATTCAATATATATATATACATGGGTAAATATAAAGTGACACTATTTTTTGTTTAATTTTGAATTTTCAGTTATATATATAATTTAATTCCTAAATTTATTAATTTAATCGTATTTTAATCCTTTTATTAGAACTAACTTGTGCCAAAAATGTTGGTATACACAATTTTATTCCTAAATATACTAATTTCATTTATATTTATTCTTATTTTATATAATTTTTAAAATAAAAATAGGAATAAACTAAAACATTTAAAATAAAAGTATATGAAATAAAATATTTTGAAATTAAAAAAAATAAAACATTACTTTTAAATTTTGAATTATATATGTGTTCTAAACTTCAAAACTTTCTATAATTATATAATCTTATTCACCTTTTTCACTCCTCTTCCCTCACTTATATAATTGTTCTTTAATTTAATAATTTCTTTCGCACATCTTTTTGCTGTGCCGGCGTATAATTTATAATATACAGTTGATGTATTTTTTAAAAATATAATATTTATATTAAAGTTTATATAATTATAAAACAACAGACCGACGAAAAATATTTCAAGAATTTTACTAAAAGCTATGGATTTAAAAAGAAATATTGAACTTTTAATAAAATATTGATTTAATCAATTTGACTATGAAAACATAAATACATTGATGAGGTAAAATAATACAATTTTTACATTATTATTTAATCATAAATTTTTGTATTTGTAAAAATTGTTAATTTTTATAATAATTAATAGAAAATATATTTAAGATAGAGAGAGTAAGGTATCTGCGGGAGAAATTACGCATCTATCACCCAATCCTATATTTTTAGACTTCAACTTAATTGTTAATAATGATGTATGAGATTATCTTTAAAACTTGACATAAGTAAGACAGAACTAATTTGGCTCGAATTAAAATATTTAATAAATAAGATAATGATATAAATAAATTTAATTGTACTGATAATAATATAGAAAAATTATGCCATCATTTATCATAAATTATCATATAAAAAACTTATTAATTTATAATAATTAATATAAAAGTTATACTATTATGCATTCTGCTTGGTTGATAATGCAAAAAAATTTATACCAACAATGCATTAAAATTAAACTCTGATTTTTTTTTACCAAAATTTCAAAGTTTAGGTGAATAATTTACTTAATTTCAACATAGGAATATTAAAAATGTCACCATCATGGGTTGAACTAAGTTAATGAATTGAGAAGAGGACGAGGGAAGAGAAGGTGAGTGAAATGCATGTATGTATTAGTCAACGATAAATAAAAAGAAATTAATTAATTAAATTACTTTGATATTGTAAATTTTTTTACACTGATTTATACTAAAAGTAATATATGTATATTTTGTTGGGTGATTCAAATATTATTAACCTAACTTGATATATGAGCTGAGTGGGGTTAAAGGACAAGTTAGTTCCTGAATACTCTTAAAAGTCAAATGTAAAATTTGATCACAGTCAGTATTTTAGACTTGTCATTCTTGAGAACCTTTTACTAAAAAAGTTATGCTTTTAATTATGCCAATAAAAACTCCAATATAAGAAAAAAATTGATTAGGTAAAGATGTAATTTAAAAAAAATTATGCATGCTTTATAAATAAATTCCAGTATTGATCAATATAAACAGTCTTAAAACTGTATAATTAAAAAATTATCATTAAAAAATTATCATCATTTATAGTCATATAACAAGATAAAATTCTCTAGCAAAGAGACAAATAGCCATATAATAATAATATTCTATATTCACTTTACAGTTTACAGCATTATAGATTACTGTAGAGGGTAGACCTGAGAACCATAGGTTTCATAAATGGATCTCTTTCTCTCTCACACACACACACACAACAATGTCAGAGATAAAGAGAGGGTGCACAAAATCCTTGAACCTCTTCTGCCTCTGTTTCAACGCCAGAATCATCATGTCCCTCTGTTGTGTTCTCTATCGCCATCATTGTGCCCACATCATCATCCTCTTCCCTTTAGGCCTCAACCACCCCACAAACCCATCATCATTACTACTCTTCAACCCACCAGATAAAGAACAAAATCTGAAGGGTATTACAAGATCTCAACCTCAATTTCATATACATGCGTTGTTCTTCTTCTTGTTGCTTGAACAAAAAAATCTAGCTTTAG